GGGATAAAAAACAAACAAACATAAAGCCCAAACCGGTTCCCATTGATTGCAACTCAGAGTGACCTCATGTGTTTCAGAGTAGAACTATGCTCCATAGGGTTTTCAGTGGCTGTGATCTTTCAAAAGTAGATTGCCAGGCCTTTCTTCTGAGGTGACTCTGGGTGGATTCGAACCACCAACCTTTGGCTCAGTAGCCAAGTACTTGATTGTTTTTGCCACCCAGGGACTCCACCATAGGGATACCAACTATATAAACATTTTTTTTTTTTGCAAAAGCCTGGGACCATAGGGACAGAGGGTGCCCTGAGAAACCAGTTTAGCACCCCCATTATCGGGTCTGGTCTCTACCAACTGCCAATTCAGTAAAGGATATTTATAAAATCTTTTGAGAAATTTCCAGGCTTAACTAACTACATTTGCCTGAAATACTCAAATCACTGTAATCCTCTCAACCTGTTAGGGCTATTTAATAGCGGAAGACCATTTATTCAGCTTATTGAAAATTAATTACTTACATTGCCAAGGTCTGCAAGGGGAAAATGAAAAGGCAATGGAGAGGCAGCAAGGGAGATAAACCCTGCCAATGAATTCTTTTTCCTTCTCTTCATAATGCCCAAAGAGCCCCTATATTTAGGGGGTAGAAAGGGCTGGAAAATCTATTCATTTTGCACCTCATTGCATCTTGCAATGTGATGTTTTCATAACATTTTAGGAAGCCCCCCCCCAACTTTGCAGTTACTTCTTTGAGCCAAAATTAAGCAAACAAACATGAACAATGGGAATGTTTCAGACTGGACGGTAATTTAGAGAGTAAAACAAATAAATCAATGAAAAATCTGCCTGCCATTCAAAACCTCTTGCTTTCCATTGACCAGATCTTTGCTTAGGAAATTGGGACGTTTTATGTTTTGTCAATCCATTAGTGAGAAAAATGTGTGGTTCTGGTTAATGAAACTAGAGAAAGAAGAAACAAATACTATATTTAATCTGGGGGCCGAGGGGTGAAGGGACAATTCTGAACATCAGACTTTTAGCTACTTTGAGATTCTACTTCAGTATATTTTAAAAAGTGGAATAAATATCTAAATATATTTTTTATTAGAATACATAGTTCTCCTTATTTTGCCTATATAACATAGATATGATATTGTTTTGTCTAATAGTATAGCTCCTTTTAATTAGGGCTATAGGGGAGTGAGAGAGACACTATGGATAAACAAAATCCACAGTAATT